GGGGTTTGGTTTTTTTTATGAACCCGAACCTCCCCCCAAAGAAGGGTTGGTGTTTATAAAACCTTTAACCTCACCATGAAGGTGTTGAAATTTTATGAACCCTGAAAACCCCACCCATGAAGGGGTTTTTGTTGTATGAACCCGAAACCCCAACCCAAGAAGGTGTTTGGGTTGTATAACCTTGAAAAACCCCCACTCATGAAGGGGTTGGTGTTTTTATGAACCCGAACCTCCCCCCATGAAAAGGTTTTGGTGGGTTTTTGAACCTTGAACCCACCAAAGAAGGTGTTTGGGGGTTGTAAAGAACCTTGAACCTCCCTCATGAAAGGGGTTGGTGGTTTTTATGAACCCCGAACCTCACTCATGAAGGGGTTGGTGTTGTATAACCTTTAACCTCACCCATGAAAGGAAATTTGGGGTTGTAAAAAACCTTTAACCTCACCATGAAGGTGTTGGGGTAGAAAAACCTTTAAATCACTCATGAAGGGGGTTGGTTTTTGTAGAACCTTGAACCTCACCCATTAAAAGTGTTGTATGAACCTTGAAACCCCACCCATGAAGGGTTTTGGGGTTTTTATGAAAACCCTTTAACCTCACTCATGAAGGGGTTGGTGTTTTTATGACCCCTTTAACCTCAACCCTGAAGGTGTTTTTTGAACCTTGAACCTCACTCATGAAGGTGTTGGTGTATATGAACCTTGAACCTCACAAAATGAAGGTTTTTTATGAACCTTGAACCCCCACTCATGGGAAAGGGGTTGGGGGTTTTTTAAAGAACCTTGAACCCCAATCATGAAAATGCTTTTGGGGTTGTATGAAAACCCTTTAACCCCAAATCATGAAGGTGTTGTAGAACCCCGAAAACCCACTCATAAGGTGTTTTTGGGGGTTGGGAAAAGAACCTTTAACCTCACCCATTTTAAAAGGGGTTTTTATGAAAACCCTTTAACCTCACTCATGAAGGTGTTTTTGGGTTGAAAGAACCTTGAACCCCACCATTAAGGGTTTTGGGGTTGTATGAACCCTTTAACCTCACCCATGGGAAAGGGGTTGTAAGAACCTTGAACCTCACTCATGAAAGGGGTTGGTGTTGAAAGAACCCCTTTAACCTCACTCATGAAGGGTTGGGTGTTGTATGAACCTTTTAACCTCCCCCAAAGGTGTTGGTTTGTATGAACCTTGAACCTCACCCAAAGGGAAGGGGTTGTATGAACCTTTAAAACCCCACCCATGAAGGTTTGGTGTTTTTTGAAAACCCGAACCTTTACCCATGAAGGTGGGTTTTTAAAACCTTTAAAACCCACCCATTTAAGGTGTTGGGGGTTGTAAAGAACCTTGAAACCCCACTCATGAAGGGGGTTGTAAGAACCTTTAAAACCCCCTCTAAGGTGTTGTAAAGAACCTTGAACCTCACTCATGAAGGGGTTTGGTGTTTATGAACCTTTTAACCTCACCCATAAGTGTTTTATGAACCTAGAAAACCCCACTCATGAAGGGGGTTTGGGGTTGTAAAACCCTGAACCCACTCATTAAGGTGGGGGTGTTGTATGAAAACCCTTTAACCTCCCCCCAGAAGGTGTTTTTTGTTGTATTTAACCTTTTAACCCTACCCATGAAGGTTTGTATGAACCTTTAACCTCCCCTCATGAAGGTGTTGGGTTGTATAACCTTGAACCCCCACCCATGAATGTTTTTGTAAAGAACCTTTAACCTCCTCAAAGAAGGTGTTGGTGGGTTTTAGAACCCTAACCTCCCCTCGAAGGTGTTTGGGGTTGTAAGAACCTTAACCCCCACCCATGAAGGTGTTGGTGTTGTATTAAAACCCTTTAACCTCCCCATAAGGTGTTTTTTAAAGAACCTTTAAAAATCACTCAAGAAGGTGTTTTGGGGTTGTATGAAAACCCTTTAAAACCCCACTCATAAGGGGTTTTATGACCTTGAACCTCACCATGAAGGGGTTGGTGTTGTATTAACCCTAACCTCACCCATTAAGGTGTTGTATGAAAACCCTTTAACCTCATCATGAAGGTTTTGGGGTTTTTATAACCTTGAACCTCACCCAAGAAGGTGTTTTTTGAACCTTAACCTCCCCTCATGAAGGGTTGGTGTTGTAATTAACTCTGAACCTCAAATCATAAGGGTTGGTGTTTTTAGGAACCTTGAACCTCACCCATGAAGGGGTTTGGGGTTGTAAGAACCTTGAACCTCACCCATGAAAGGGTGTTGTAAAGAACCTTTAACCTCACCCCATGAAGGTTTGGTGTTGTATAACCTTGAAACCCCACTCATGAAAAGGGGTTTTTTTGAAAACCCCTTTTAACCTCACTCATGAAGGTTTTTTTGGTTTTGGGATAAAAACCCGAACCTCACCCAGAAGGTGTTTTTATGAACCTTGAACCTCAAATCCTGAAAGGGGTTTGGGGTTGTATGAACCTTGAACCCCCACCCATGAAGGTGTTGGTGTTGTATGAACCTTGAACCTCAACCCCCTAAGGGTTTTTGGTTTGTATGAACCTTTAACCTCACCCATGAAGGTGTTGTAAACCCCTTTAACCCACCCATAAGGGGTTTTGGGGTTTTTATGAACCTTGAACCTCACTTTATGAAGGTGTTGTATGAAACCCTTTAACCTCCTTTTATGAAGGTGTTTATGAACCTTGAACCCCCAAATCATGAAAGGGGTTTTTTGTTGAAAGAACCTTTAACCTCCCCCCCATGAAGGTGTTGGGGTTGTATGAACCTTTAACCCCCACCCTGAAGGTGTTGTATGAACCTTGAACCTTTACTCATGAAGGTTTGGTGTTTTATGAACCTTGAAAACCTCACTCATAAGGTTTTTGTAAAGAAAACCCTTTTAAACCCCACTCAAGAAGGTGTTGGTGTTGTATGAACCTTTAACCTCACCCATGAAGGTGTTTGGGGGTTGCATGAACCTTGAACCTCACCCTTGAAGGTGTATGAACCTTGAACCCACTCATGAAGGGGTTTGGGGTTTTAAAGAACCCTGGGAAACCCCACCATGAAGGGTTGGGGTTTTTAAGAACCTTGAACCCCACTCATGAAGGGTTTTGGGGTTGTATAAAACCCTTAACCCCCACCATGAAGGTGTTGGGTTGGATGAACCTTGAAAATTTACCAGAAAAGGGGTTTTTATGAAACCCTTTAACCCAAATTATGAAGGTGTTTGGTGTTTTTATGAACCTTGAACCTCACCAAAAAAAAGGGGTTGGGGTTGTATGAACCTTTTAACCCCCACTCATGAAGGGGTTGGTGTTTATTAACCTTGAACCTCACTCATGAAAAGGGGTTGGTGTTTTTTAAGGAACCTTTAACCTCACTCATGAAGGGTTGTATGAAAACCCTTTAAAACCCCCCCCCTGAAGGGTTGGGGGTTGTTTTGAAAAACCCTTTAAACCCCACTCATTAAGGTGTTGGTGTTGTATAACCTTGAACCTCACTCAGAAGGTGTTTTGCCATTGATCCCCCACTCATGAAGGTTTTTTGGGGTTGTAAAGAACCTTGAACCTCACTCATGAAGGTGTTTGGGGTTGAAAAAACCTTTTAACCTCACCTTTATGAAAGGGTTTATGAACCTTGAAACCCATTCATGGAGGGGTTGGTGTTGTAAAGAACCTTGAACCCACTCCCTGAAGGTGTTGGGGTTGTAAAGAACCTTTTAACCCCCATTCATGAAGGGGTTGGTGTTTTAATGAAAACCCTTTAACCCACTCATGAAGGTTTGGTGTTGTATGAACCTTGAACCCCCAAATCAAGAAGGGTTGTATGAACCTTGAAAACCCCATTCAGAAAAAAGGGGTTTTGGGGTTGTTTAAAAACCTTAACCTCCCCCATGAAGGTGTTGGGTTGTATGAACCTTGAACCTCACTTTATGAAGGTGTTGGTGTTGGGAGGGAAACCTTTTAACCTCCCTCATGAAGGGGTTTTGGGTTGTAAGAACCCTTTAACCTCACCATGAAGGTTTGGGGTTGAAAGAACCTTGAACCCTCACCATGAAGGGGTTTGGTGTTGTATGAACCTTGAACCCCACTCAGAAGGGTTGGTGTTGTATGAACCTGAACCCTCACCCATGAAGGTGTATGAACCTTTTAACCTCCCCCATGAAAAAATTTTTTTATTTAACCTTTAAACCCCACTCAAAGAAAAGGGGTTGGTTTTTGTATGAACCTTTAACCCACTCAGAAGGGGTTGGGGGTTTTTATGAACCTTTGAACCTCAAATCATGAATGTTGTATAAACCTTGAAAAAAACCCCCCTATAAGGTGTTCTTTTTTGTTGAACCTTGAATCTCAATTTATTAAGAGTTGGGGTTTTTATGAACCTTTAACCCCCTCAGAAGGGGTTGGTGTTTTATGAAACCTGAATCCATTTAGAAGGAGTTTTATGGTTTTTTATGAACCTTGAACCTCACTCATGAAGGTTTTGGGGGTTGTATGAACCTTGAACCTCACCATGAAGGGTTGGGTTTTTAATGAAACCCTTTAACCTCATTCATGAAGGTGTTTGGGGGGTTTGGGATGAACCTTGAACCCATTTCCCTGAAGGGGTTGGTGTTTTTATGAACCTTGAAAACCCCCACTCCGAAGGGTTGGTGTTTGATGAACCTTGGGAAACCCCTTCATGAAAAGGGGTTGGTGTTGTATGAACCTTGAACCCACTCTGAAGGTTTTTTGGTGTTGTATGAAACCCTTTAACCCATTTATGAAGGTGTTTTGGGGGTTTTATGAAAACCCTTTAAAAAATCACCCATGAAGGTGTTTTTGTTTTATAACCTTGAACCTCATTCATAAGGGGGTTTGGGGTTTGTATGAAAACCCTTTAACCTCATTTATAAGGGGTTGGTGGTTTTTATTAACCTTGAACCTCACTCTGAAGGTGTTTGGGTTTTATGAACCTTGAACCTCATTCATAAGGGGTTTTGGGGGTTGTAAGAAAAATTGAACCTCATTCATGAAGGTAAAGAAATTAGTTTTAGCACTTTCCATCAGGAGTCTGTGGAGATTAGTGGTCGTAATTACTTTTGGGCGTAATTGTTGTACCCAGGTCCGAAGGGGATTTTACTTGTGGTCGTAGCATTGTACTAAAAGGGTTTGTAGAAAGTATTTGTGGTCGTAGGATTTTTAAATAGGGTCCGAGGGGATGTACTTGTGGTCGTAGCAGTTTGTACTAGGGTCCCTAGGGGTACTTGTTGGGCGTTGATGTCCCTTGTTTGGGCCCCAGGGTGTACTTGTGGGCGTAGTTGTACTTTTGGTTTGTAGAAAGTACTAGGGGGTCGTACCAGTTTTTAAATAGGGGTCCCTAAAAAAATGTACTTTGGGGGCGTACTATATTTTTTTGTTTTTGGGTGGGCTAAAGATTTTTATTTAATGTTCGTGGGAAAATGAAGGCTGGTTTTAAATGGGGAGAGGTTATGCTGGAGGCCCGGTTTAGTGTGAGAGGTTTATGCTGGAGGCTGGTTCAGGGGTAGAGGTGATGCTGGGGCTGGTTCATGTGAGAGGGGATGCGGAAACTGGGTTTAGTGTGAAGGTGATGCTGGAGGGTGGTTTAGTGTGAGAGGTGATGCTGGAGGGTGGTTTTAGTGTGGAGGGGAAAGCTTTGGGGGCTTTTCATTGTGAGGAAAGGGGAAAGCTGGGGCTGGTTTTATTTTGAAAGGTGATGCCTTTGGGGGCCCGGGTTTATGTGAGAGGTGGGTGCTGGAGACTGGTTTAAATGTGAGAGGGGATGCGGAGGCTGGTTTTAGTGTGGGGAAAGGGAAAGCGGGGGCTTTGGTTTTTAGTGTGAGAGGTGATGCTGGAGGCTGGTTTAGGGTGAGAGGTGATGCTGGAGGCTGGTTCAGTGTGAGAGGTGATGCTGGAGGCTGGTTCAGTGTGAGAGGTGACGCTGGAGGCTGGTTCAGTGTGAGAGGTGATGCTGGAGGCTGGTTCAGTGTGAGAGGTGATGCTGGATCTGGTTCAGTGTGAGAGGTGATGCTGGAGGCTGGTTCAGTGTGAGAGGTGATGCTGGAGGCTGGTTCAGTGTGAGAGGTGATGCTGGAGGCTGGTTCAGTGTGAGAGGTGATGCTGGAGGCTGGTTCAGTGTGAGAGGTGATGCTGGATTCTGGTTCAGTGTGAGAGGTGATGCTGGAGGCTGGTTCAGTGTGAGAGGTGATGCTGGAGGCTGGTTCAGTGTGAGAGGTGATGCTGGAGGCTGGTTCAGTGTGAGAGGTGATGCTGGAGGCTGGTTCAGTGTGAGAGGTGATGCTGGAGGCTGGTTCAGTGTGAGGGTGATGCTGGAGGCTGGTTCTGTGTGAGAAGTGATGCTGGAGGCTGGTTCAGTGTGAGAGGTGATGCTGGAGGCTGGTTCAGTGTGAGAGGTGATGCTGGAGGCTGGTTCAGTGTGAGAGGTGAGGCTGGAGAACAGAACACCATCAACATTGACAGCTACACAGCCACAATGGCGTCCCGCAGGGCCACCATCCCTTCATAGCTTTCCTGTATACACACAGATTCCTACATTAACCATACAATTACTAAAGTAAAAACAAAAGGTAAAATATCCAAACAATATTCATTAGTATGACTAGTGTGAATAAAACACATTTTTTAATGATCTAAATTAGAAGGATTTTATATGAGGCTTTCGGAAATATGAAACGCGACCTTTGAATAAACAAAATAATGGTTTTGATGCTAGTGAGGGACTTGATGCTAGTGAGGGTCTTGATGCTAGTGAGGGTCTTGATGCTAGTTCAAATTCAAATTCAAATTCAAATTCAAAGTTTATTCTCTATAAGGATTACAATGCTGAGTTTACAGAAATTTGGTTATTGTGTGGTTTACATGTAGTAAAATTGTGATTACAGAGTGTACCACTAGAACGCTTAGCATGGCTAGGCATTTCGGGCAGACTTAGTTTTATTCTTAATTGTAAAATATTACAAATTATGAGGTAAGTTGGTATTATGGCTAAGTGACTAAATACTAGTTTGTGATTTTAGCAATGTGAATTGCTTTTGTTTTGGCACAGTACATAGTTTCAGTATTGGAGTATCACAGGATCATTATTTTAAGATTGAGATTAATTTCTGTTTATGGTCAAATGAGTGAGTGAGTGTAAGTGTGAACCACCAGGTGGTATTCGTGTAGTTAGTTGACGGGGTGTATCAGGGAGATAAGATGTTTTCTAATGGTAGTTTGAAGTGATGAATGTGTCTGCAGTTCTAGAGTTCTCAGGTAGGGTATTCCAGATTTTAGGGCCCTTTGACATACATTGAATTTTTGTAAAGATTTAGTCGGACACGGGAATGTCGTAGAGATGTTTGTGTCTGGTGTTATGCCTGTGGTTCTGGTCACAACTATCAAGAAAGCGTTTTAGGTCAAGGTTGATATTAGAGTTTAAGGCCCTGTAGATGTAGACTGCACAGTAGTAGTGTGGATGTACTGAACTGGGAGTAAGTTTAGATCTATGAAGAGTGGGGGGTGTGTTGCCAGGGATGGGATTTAGTGATTATTCTTACTGCAGCTTTTGTTGGGTTATTATTGGCTTTAGGTGTGTTGCTGCAGTTGATCCCCAAGCACAAATAGCATAGGTGAGGTATGGATAAATAAGTGAGTGGTATAGTGTGAGAAGGGCATTTTGGCGGCACGTAGTATCGTATCTTGGAGAGGATCCCAACCGTTTTGGATACTTTTTTGGCTATATGCTGATATGGGTGCTGAAATTCAGGTTGTTGTAAAGGGTATAAGCCTAAGAATTTTCCCCCATTATTTCTGGTAATTAGAGTGTTGTCAATCTTAATGTTAATTTGTGCATCTCCTGCTCTGCTACCAAACATAATATAGTAGGTTTTGTCAGTGTTAAGCGTAAGTTTATTGGCTGTCATACAAGTCGATATTTTAATCAGCTCCTCATTCACAATGGTGTTGAGGGTGGCAAGATTAGGGTGAGAGATGACATAAGTCGTGTCATCAGCAAAGAGAATGGGTTTCAGGTGTTGGGATACGTTTGGAAGGTCATTGATGTATATGAGGAAGAGCGGGGGACCAAGGACACTTCCCTGCGGAACTCCAGTATCAAGTGGCCGTGTTGCTGATGCTGTGTCTTTAATGGTGACGTACTGATACCTATTAGTAATGTAAGATTTGAAATAAGCAAGGCATGCCTCTTATACCGTAGTGATCAAGTTTGTGGAGTAGGATGTCGTGGTCTACTGTGTCAAAAGCTTTTCTTAGGTCAATAAAAATTCCTAGTGGATATTCCTTATTTTCCAATGCTGTGTAAAGCAGATCTAGCATTTTTATGATTGCATCATTAGTGCTTTTATTTTTCCTGAATCCAAACTGGCAGGGGTTGAGTATTTTTTTGAGCCGTTATAAATGAATACAGTCTCCTGTGCACGAGTTTCTCAAAGATTTTGGATAGCAATGGTAAGTTAGATATTGGCCTATAGTTGTTTAAGTCTGTAGGGTCACCACCTTTATGTATTGGTGTAACCCTTGCCATCTTGAGTAGTTTCAGGAAGGTGCTAGTCTCTATTGACTTGTTAAAAAGTAATGAAATAGCATGCGAAAGGACATGGGCCGCTCGTTTGTACAGTAATGGTGGGACATGAGACAGATTCCCCGAGTTACTTTTAAGTGACTTTATGATCTCGATGACTTCCGTGGGCTCAGTTGGTGCAAGATAGAAGGAATTAGGGAAATTTCCATCTAGGTAGTCCCCGGCATGGGCATTGGTATGTGGGATTTTACTGGCGAGATTAGATCCTATGTTTGAGAAGAAGTCGTTTATCTTGTTAGCTGTGTCAGTGGGATGTAGTGGTGTTTCATTAGGTTTAGTTAGGACAATATTCTTGGTTTTTTCAGTTTGTGGGTCCCTAGAATCTGAGAGAGTGTTTTCCAGGTCTTTTTTATATCTCCTCTAGTGTCTGTGAATCTACTGGAGTAGTATAGTTGTTTGGCTTTTTTTATCACTTTGGTGAGAGCTGATGAATAGTGTTTAAGAGTATCTTCGTGTATTAAGCCCTGTCTATATTGCTTTTCATATTGGTGTTTCTTGTCAATGGATTTCAGAATGGTGCTGGTTAGCCATGGGCAACCAAGCCGTTTGTTTGTGATCTGTTTTGTTTTTATAGGACAATGTTTGTTGTATAGTCTAAGTAATTTGTTAAGAAAAATGTCTGTCCAGTCATCAATACCATTGGCCTTGGAGAATTCTGTAGGCCAATCAACAGTCTCTAGGTCAGCTGTGAACTTCCTTACTGAGGCCTCGTCATGGAGTCTAAATAAGACTTTGTTGTATTCAAGTGGTGGTTTACTAATGTTTGTCAGGAGAAGGTAGGGTAGTGGTCTGTAGTGCTATCTGTGATTATCCCTGATTTAAGGGGGGGCTAGTATATTGGTCCATATGTGGTCTCTTATGGTTGCACTTGTCTCAGTGAGCCTGGTTGGTTTAGTTATTGTTGGTATGAGAAGTGTGTTGTTCATATTGTTGATGAAATCAGTTACAGGCTGATCATCTAGTAAGCCAAGGGTTGATGTTGAAGTCTCCAGCTAAGAGAAGGTGGTGCTTATTCATTTGTCTGTTTGTTATTAGTGACTTTAATTTCTCACTGAAATTTGGGATGTTTGTGTGAGGTATCCGGTAAATGGCACCGATTGTTATAGGCGTCTTAAGGTTTTTTACAGTAAAATTAGCAAAAATGTATTCCCCATATTCATCACTAAAGCAAGTGGTGCTAAGACAAGATAATTGGTTAGAGTAATAGATTGCAATACCACCCCCAACTTGGTTTGTTCTGCAGTTGTGAATTGCTGTGTATCCTGGTAGAGGGTAGATATCTATTGTGTCCTGCTTAAGCCAGGTCTCAGTAAGAATAATGCAGGAGAAGGGTGTCTTTAGTGATTCAAGGAGTGCTAGGAGGTCATCATAGTGTTTGCTTAAGGACCTGATGTTGTAGTTAAGTACTGATAGACTTTTAGCATTGTTTAGGATAGTGGTGGCTTGTGATGCTGTG